CTCTACCTATATAGTAAGGAGTTTAGATTTATTATTTCTCTTCTAATCCTATAGTTAATTTCCTAGAAATCTTACTTTATTAGGGTAGTTCTTAGTTATATATTTCTTCTTACTATAGACTAAGTATAATTTTTCCTTAAATTAATACTCCCTTTTCTTAAATATAATATAGTTAAATATATTTTTATACTTTTTACTTATTTACTATATTACTTAATTTTTATTTTAAATTAGGTACTATTTACTATTATAAGTCCCTTAGTAGTTTAGCTTAGATTATTCCCTTAGTATTCTAGATATTTTCTTTTAGTCCTTCTTCTATAATACTATTTCTAGTCTATATATCTTTACTTTTAATTCTTCTATAATTAATAGCTTACCCTAGAGCTATTAGATTTTATATTATAGATCTAGAAGAAATTTTCTAATAATTAATAGTATAAGGTATTTCTCTAATAAATTAGTATTATAGTTATTATATAGACTCTTAATATAATTAAAAAAAGATTTAATATCTTACTAAGGGTACTACCTTATTTTATTAAACTTTAAAATAGTATTAATACTATAGTTAGTAGGATATTTAATTTAATCTTTATACTATTCTTTAAATACTTCTTAAATTTTAGATATTATCTATTCTACTTCCGCCTAATTATACTATTTAATTATAAGGTTTCATTTAGTCTTCTATCTTTATTAAGCCTAGACTACTTTTACTTTATTAGAGATTTTAAAGAAGGTCTTCTATAGAGTATTCTCTAGTTAGTAAAACTAAATTAAGTACTCTTTTAGGGTTAAGTTATTCTATATTAGTATCTTTACCTTTAGTAATAACTTTTAATATTATAAATATTAGATCTCCTCTTTATATTATTCTAGTAAGCTCTAATAATTATACTTCTATACTTTATTAACTAATAATCTCTATAACTTCTATTATTCTTCTATAAGTATATCTATAATCTAATCTACTAATAAATATAGCTCTTTCTATATTTTACCTTTAGATAATATTTTATCTTTTTATAGATATATATAGCTTTATATTATAATTATATTTCCTAATTTATAGAGAATAATTCAAATATTAAACTACTAGTATATTAAATATACTAGAGGTTAGTTCTCTTTTATTAGTTAGAAGAAACTATAAAGGTCTTTATTATTAAATAAAGAAATACTATAGAGGTCTATAATATTTAAAACTAACTATTAGTTTCCTTAACTTTTAGTCTTTTTAAAGTATTTATAGTTTCTCTATCTTATATAGATTCTATATACTCTATACCTTTAATAGATTCTATTAGGGGTCACTCCTCTAGAATTATATACTACCTATAGTGTATATTTAAAGGTTAGTTCCTAACAGATATTTAATTTAAATAATACTAAATAGAGTATATTTCTCTATATAATAGAAAAATAAGAGCTAATTTTTTATTTTTTCTAAGAAAAATTCTAGAAAAAAAACCTACTATCTTTTAAATAGTAATAATTAACTATTTTACTTTTCTTTTTAGTAGAGAATTAGAAATTAAAATAACTACTTTAGTTTACTTTTAAGTAGAAATCTCTACTTTTTAATTTTAATTTAGAATCTTTTAATATTATAGAAATTTCTAATTTTTTAAAAGAAGTTTAAAAATTTATATAAAATATATTACTTAAATTTAGTTTATTTAAATATTTTAATCTTTTAGAAAAAATTATATTTTAATTAAGCCTTCTAAAAATAACTAAGCTACTTTTTAGTAGTTTTTAGTAGTAGAGATTTAATAGTTTAACTAAATTATTTAATATTTTAGTTATAGCTACTAATTTTTATTAAAATAAATTAAATAAGGAAAGATAAAAATTAATAAATAATAAATAATAAGAGATAAAATAAGAAAAATCAAAATTAAAAAAGGGAAGGGGGAGAAGGAAAAGGGGGTTTAAATAAGTATAGCTTAGTAAGAAAAATCAAAATAAAGAAGAAAAATTTTTTCTAGAATATTAGGGTATATTTAGTGAAATTTCTCTAAAAATAGGAGGTATTTTAAAATTAAAATTAAGCTTTAAATTAAGTTACTTTTAACTATAAATAGCTACTAACTGATTATATTTTAATAAAGTAAAAAAATTACTATTTTTTTTTTTTTTTTTTTTACTAATTAATATATTATTAAACTAATTATTAAGCTTCTATTTATATATATATATTTTCTTAATTTTAATCTTTTTTTAAAAAGTTAATGATTAATTTTTAATCTAATATATATATATATATTTATTATATTTAAATTTATATTATTAAATAATTAATACTATAGTATTTACTATTTATTAAGCCTTATATAATATTTTTAATTTAATTATAATAATATAATAATTATTAAAAATTATTATTAATAAATTTTATATATAAATTTAATTATTATAAAATTAATATATATATATATATAAAGTTTAACTAATTATATTTAAATTAATATATCTCCTTTTTAATAAATAAATAAAAAGGGTTAAGAGTAAAATTTTTAAAAATTTACTCTATAGAGATAGAGTTGGAGCTATCAACCCCCCTCCCTCAAAGAGTTAAGGGGAGAGGGGGGGGAAATACTCTCCCCCCACTCTATTAGAGTAGAGGCACAAGCCTATATAATAATTTCAACTAATTTATATTTATAATAATATTCTCTAATATTAATATAAGAAATAATAATAATAATAATAGAAGTAAATTAATAATTTTTAATAAGTTAAAGTAAAAACAATTTTCAAATTTCTGACTCAATATTTATTTAGTTCGCTGTACAATAGAGAAGTTTAAGCTTCAAGCCACCTCTAAAGCTTCATTCGCTGTGGATATACCGACGCTTCCCCCGAATTTCCCCATGTCAAGGCTGAGTCAGGTCGGTTATTCCAGCAACGAGCGGAGAGACGTGAGCCGGTTGAAATTTGCGACAATCTTGACCGTGACCGTGAAGGCTTTGTTTTAATTATTGGGATAACTCCTTACATTTAACACGGCCTTCGCTTTTGCAATCGTTTGAACGGGATATACTTAATAGCCTCTTACCTCCATTTATCCTCGAAAAGGACCACTTGAGAGTATAGGAAAGAGCTAGAGTGACCTCATTACATAGCCGATTCTGTTTTCTCCTCGCTCAGCTCCGGGAAGGTGGGCTCATATCTATTCTGGAGCTCTTTATATCGTCATCATGGCGAAGCCAACACCTAAGCTGCCTGTGCAGCAGTTTGTGATACTGGGTAGGCCCAATGTTCACGCTTTCCACCCCTGAACGCATATACTTTTTGAAATATCATTCCTGGCTAACCACGATGGCATTACTCCCTTCACTTTAGCTGTCTGTCGATTTGCTGAACCCGGTATATTCCCGTGTCCCCCAATTCAAGTCATCCAAACCTCATATAAAAATGACGCTGATATGCGAGATTTCACTATACAGTTGTCTTTACGTCCGTCTTTCCATACTTAGTATGATAACTACTCCATTTTGTCTCTAGCGGTGTTATAGTGCGTGAAATCTGTTGACCACTGTGCATAATTACTAACTGGTTACATTAGCCTGAAATGGTCCGGACATTTGGCGTTGTCGAAAGAGATGTTGCAAAATGGGTTGGCATCCTATCGGCCATATTTGCCCTCTGCCAATGCATCACTGCTGTTCCCTGGGGAAATTTATCCGACCGAATTGGACGCAAACCCGTAATATTAACGTGTCTCTCCATAACGATGTTTTTTACCCTTCTCTTCGGAGTCTCTACTTCGCTACCTATGGCTGTGTTAGCGCGCGCTTGTCTTGGGTTCAGCAGTGGGAACGTTGGGATTATTCGAACCGTCGTGGCTGAGCTTGTACCCGAGCGTGAGCTTCAACCTCGAGCTTTCAGTTTAATGCCCCTAGTTTGGGCGATTGGGAGCATATTTGGCCCTGCGTTTGGAGGAGCCCTTGTGAACCCAGTAAAGAAATACCCAGAAATTTTTGGAAATAGCCATTTTTTCAAGACATACCCATTTGCCTTGCCAAATATACTTTCAGGAGGCTTCTTTATCATCGGAATTATCACGGGTTTTCTATTCTTGAAGGTATACCTCATTTTCGGAGTGACAACGAAAACAAGTTAATGGTTGCTGTACTTACTACTTCGCTAGGAAACTCTATCATTCAAAAAGAACGAGCGAGACTATGGTCTCATCCTTGGTGAAATGCTGACTAGTGTGTGCTGCCGCTGCAGAAGAAAGCCGGTAAAGAATCCTGAGCATGGAGACGACGAATCCACTCCCCTTCTTGGTGACCGTCAGATACCTGTATCGGCCGCAAGTAAGGAACAAAAACAGCCAAATTACTCTGCTAAGTGGACGGAGGTTTTAACCTTCCAGTCTATGATAATTCTCTCAATATATGCTTCGTTAGGGCTCCATAGTGTTGCTTTCGACTCTGTACTGCCCGTGTTTTTAAACCATCCAAGGCAGAAACTGGAAAATAACCCGGATGTGAAACTTCCGTTTAAGTTCTCCTCTGGATTCGGTATAGGTACGCGATCGTCACCAACCTCTGTCCCGACATCTCCATTCTCGATTATTTAATCATTTATCTGAGAACATGAGCTAAACAACCTTTTCAAATTTAGACTCACAGGCCATTGGTATTTTGTTTACACTCAATGGAGTAGTAGGAATGATTGTTCAATTTTTTGTTTTTCCCCCGACCGCCAAACGCTTCGGGGTCCTACGTTGCTTTAAAGTATCAGCTCTCATGTTCCCGGTTCTTTACTTCCTTACACCTTTTCTAGCCCTCTTCCCCACAGATAGCACTCGCCAGCTTGCGACAGTAATCCTGATGGCAATCAAGCTGAGTGCTGTGGTCTTCGCATTCCCATCATCCATCATCCTTCTTACAAATTCAGCTTCAAGTGTTTCTGTCCTCGGAACCTTGAATGGGGTCGCAACGAGCGCTTCTGCGATAGGCAGGGCCATTGGTCCAGCTGCGCTGGGCGGCGTATTCTCCATTGGCGTCAAAGCCGGATATATGATAATACCTTGGTGGACCCTGGCTTTCATTGCAGCTATCAGCGCGCTCCCAGCTTTTTGGATCATTGAAACAGACGGCTTCGCTGGTGATACGGGAGAGCAAGATAATGAAGGCACAGCCGTTGTGGTCGGTGATGCGGAACAGGATAGCCCACCCCTTCTAGAGGTAGGAAATGTGCGTTCTGAAAGCACAGCTGGCCCAGTAGAGGTCAGCAATTCAGACGGTAAAGCCACGGACGATGAGCCCACCACGTCAGCACTATCCAACTCCTAATCTCCTTACGGAACAAACGACCATATACATGGACTCGGAATCATATCTCAATTCAAAAAGGATTACCATTCCGATATTTCCTTTCTTCCTACAGAAAAGCGCTCCCGAAAATCGATTTAGATATGCAAACAATATTCCGCTTTTACACTTCTCACGATTTCTAATGCGTTCAGATGACCCTTTTACATCTTTTCTATCTGCTATATAGATAAAGTCCATAGAAATAATAACGAAGTTTTTCAGTTATCAAATGTATTGGAATAGAAATATACAAGCAGTGTGACAGTAATACAAGGACCCCGGAGATATTTATATCATCCCAACAATTCAGTAGCGTCGTCAATCTTAGATATAATAATGTCCCTCCATTTCTACACAAATAAAATCTTTGTTAGCAACAGCCACAAAATTCAATTAGTGAAATCCAGACTTTACTCACCTCGGCGTTCTTCAAATTGTTGTCTTCAAAGCTTTCAACTAGGCCAGGGAACGTGGCACCGGCATATCCAGTCCAACGTCCCGGTGCGAAAATAACATGTTTGTACCAACCTCTGTTATCAAGTCCTTTATCATATAGGAACTTTCTTTCAATATATTTGTATTTCTGGTTAGTAAAGCGAATTTTGAAATAGAGAATAAGCCTACTCCACCAATGACCACCTTTCTCAAGTTCTGTAGCAAGTGACTCAGCATAAGCGTCGAATTTAACGGCATTTTGGTGGAACGCGGAGATTGCATCATCCATGGGAGAGAAGTCAAACTGGTTCATGGCATCAGGAGAGACCTTATCTTTAACCGAATCCAAGTATTTCCTCAATGCATAAGCATAGTCGGTGGCATTCAGAGCTAGAATTGGGGTTTCTGCTAGGTATGCGGCTGTAAGAGACCACGTTTTTGCCATTGCAACGTGATATTTAAAACCAACGTCACCGAATCGGTCCATCCAATCAAAACTATCATAATTGGAGTGGTATTGATAAACTGGATCGCCTGCTCCAGTCGTAAATGCATAATCAATACTTGGAATTCCAGCAAAATCTTGGAAAGCCGTAAAATCGCTTCCACTTCCCATTACACCAATTTCCCCGTCCCAGAGGTCAAGGATGGTTTGCCCTTTAATCGTCTGATTTGGAGATAGGACAAGTCCTGCGGCATTATAGATCGCCTTGTTGAGCAAGGGGCTAGCATTAGCCTGGAACTTCTTTCCAGACGTGGAAACGTCAACATTGAGGTATGCAACGTGAGCACTTGACAGCCACGGAAGGTTTTCTTCGACCCATTCCGTTGATCCAATCAGTGCATACTCTTCGGCATCCCAGCTAGCGAAGACAATCGTTCTTTTAGGTTTCCAGCCACCCTTAAGGGCTCCACCGAAGCTGCGAATGACTTCATTGATCACAGCAGATCCACTATTTGGATCGGCTGCACCTCCAGCTATCCAAGCATCTCGGTGGTTGCCTAAAACAATAACCTCATCCGGGATTGAACCTTTGATAACGCCAATGACATTCCATACAGGAGTAGTTACATACTCCTGCTCATTATAGAGATTGATCATGACGTTCTCTGGAGATGGACCAATGTTATAGTCAACACCTTTATTGACTAAACCACCTTCCCACTCTTTGCCAAACTCTGAGGATTTAGGTCCATGGCCATTGAGAGCTTTCAAGAGCGGGATGGCGTCTCTGTAAGAGATTGGCAATGAAGGAATGGAAGGAAGGAAATCTTTAGGATCCTGTCTAGGACAACCTGGGATGGAGGGGTATCCAGGGGTCGTCGGGTCGCCAGCTCCAACAGCTTTAGGAGTAAATATAAATCAGAGGTTTGACAACACTGAAAGATATGGATAGTAAGAGAGACGCTTACTCAAAAATCCAACACTCCCTCTCTGCACAGCACTTGGGTTCCTAGCAGGTCCATCAGGATATGCCTTGTATCCGTTTGTCTCAACCATATCTCCATCTTCCTGTGGATCAGTATAGATAATGACTCCGGCCATACCAAGTTCTTGAGCACGCTTAACTTTCAGTCCACGCAAAATTCCGCTATACTTAACCAGCGCAATTTTTCCTTCCAAAGTCACGTTTGCCTTGATGAGAGCTTCATAGTCATCATAGTTTCCATTGTTCACATAAACGTATTGAGCAGTAACATTGCCGCTTGCCGAATAGCCATGGAACGTGGGAATCCTGTCTCTTAGCTCGCTAGTGGTATCTTTATCAAGCTCATCTTCTTCCAATGAAGCCTCGTAAATGACTTTAAAATCATGACTCTCATTTTTGCTCTCGAGAAGTGCTAATCGATGGTTGACGGGATAGTTCAGGTAGACTTCATAGGTCGTGAGTTGGACGTCTGGGACACCAAATTCCTCCCATTTCTCCTTTGTCCAAATAGCTAAGCTGAGATTTTTCCCCGCAAGATGGGGTCCAGATGTATAATGATGGCTCCAATCCCTTACTTTGTCTGTACTTGGTACGGTCTGCAGAAGGTGCTGGAGAGAAGCATAGTCAAGGCCATTGCTCGACGTCCAGGGGAAATGATCGGAGATTGAGCCGTATCCGCGTGGGAGCAGAGCGTAGGGTAAGAGTAGCACAATAACTGACAGTACTAATATCGAACCTAGACATGTAGTACATAACCGGCGGATTCTTCTATGCGGGTAGCGTGGTGGGGGCTGTGCTACTTCGACATAGAGCAACGGCGTGGTCTCGTACCGGTGCTGCATGCTAGTACGATTCCCCATTAGTTGCAGACAATTAGATCAAATGATGCCCACTAAAGAGGGCAAAACATTGCAGCCAAAAAGTTATGAGATGAGAAGTGCACGGAAGAGAGGACGTCAAGTATGAGAATGTTGCAGCCTGCAAGGTGATCCTTTTAGATGCATGCCGTCATCTTCTCCCCACGGGGCGCTTACCTAATCGGCTATTGCCAGGTAACTAACCTAGGTAGTTCCCGCGGCACGTGATCATATTTTTGCCGAGTCTAATATTCTTGTACACAGCTACAGTTGTCTGTTGCAAGATACAAGGAGACACAAGAGAGGCACCTTGACATTACTATACATCTGAAGATAATAAAAGACAGGATGATCTCCTTAAATACACTTACAGGGAAAATGACAGCAGAATAAGAGAAAGAGAAGAGGAGGCGGAGAGGTTTTATAATTCTTTTCTTCCCGCGTGGTTATCTAGGATCAAAGAAGCATTGGGTCGTACCTTTGTCTTGTTTCTGCATAGTTCATCTCCCCGTCGAATACTAGTATCACTCTTCGAGTCGAGTATAACTCCGGTTCGATGGAAAGGCCTTGGGTGCAGTTAAGAAGAGTAGGAGAGTTGGAATTATGGGAGGCGATAGCAGGGAGAAGGAAGTAGAGGGAGATAATGAGGAGAGCCATGCATTGATCAGTGATCATTCTGAAAACGATCTGTGATCTGACTCACCAGTGCATCGAAGTAGAAGTCCAACTGAGGTAGGCGTGTTTCTAGTTGATCCGAAGAGATGGGAGGGCGAGTGAAAATGTTGAGAATGCCGGTTGAACCAGATGTTCGATGTGTGGCCGTGGCCCATTCATCGTAATATACCGAGCAGGACAGAATTAGATGTGGGCTTCGCGCAACCAAGTACGCACCTGAAACAACAGAAGTGGGCAAAGTTGCTGATCATCAACTCGGAATAATCAGGACAAGAGTATATTATTTGGTGAAGAATGAAAAACTGTGATACGTTCAAAAGACTTATCTGCTCGTGAAAAAGTCCCATCGTCTCTCCGACGGTGCGGTCCCCAAAACTCCAGAGTAAAGAACATGAACTCCTTTTGGTTTCCCCCTGTTTGCACTTGGAGTTGTTTGAGATAGCTGGCAGTCCAGTAAGTCAGTATATTAGGATGGACGCTTACGCTGGGAGGTTGACAACTTCTTCGGCACCAGCAACAGGGTCTGCTGCTGTCTCCCCTGAAGAATTCTCGTCTATTCGCTTTGGATCAAAGGCATATCGAGGTAGGCGGGCCAGTTTTTCCTCTGGGCTGATCTCATTGTCGGAATAAACTAGTCTGGTGGACTTAGCCTTTTCTTTCTTCGAAGATTTACCAGCAGCCCCTTCTTCGGGGGTTCCGGGAGCGGGGCTTGGCTTAGCTGGTAACTCTTTGGCTTGCTTAGCAGCCTCTGAAATCAATTTATCAGCTGACGCTGACAGAGATTCAGGATTAGCATCTGGCAAAGGGTGGGCACGGTTGCTCTGCGCATCTGTAGGCATAGGAACAGCTGGAGGCCCCGAAACTTGGCCATGGTGCAACTGTTGCATTTGGAAGGCATTGACTTGCGGGGCGCCGAAACTGGGCCGTTGAGGAAGTCCTGGAGCAGGTGGTAGGCTTGGTGTTCGGGTAGGGTAGGAAGGAGATATAGTCTGAGGTGGTGTATGTGTTCTCATTGCCTGGTGGTGCTGTTGGTGATGGTACGGGAGAGTAGGGCTGGCTCCGACTGGTGAAACAATGGGGGGAACACCGGCCTGTGGGTACGGTGATGTTGACATGTTCGTAGAAGGAGGATACTGAGGCATGGGGTAGCTCTGTGGCCCGGTTGGTGGTACAAAACCCGGCTGTTGAGGTTGTTGTGGGAATGCGGTCCGGGCTTGCCCATATGGACCCGCGTAATGTTGGCCAGATCCGTTCGCTGGCTGCTGGGGGGCATTATACTGCGGTGTACTAGGCTGCTGCAGCATCAAATATATTAGCTTAACTTCAATATCTCATGATAGATAAGCACTAGGAAATAAGAACATACATATGGAGTACCACCGGGGGTAGATTGTGACTGTTGTCCAGCACCTACGGGCGTAGTGTCTCCACTGCTTCCGCCGGCCGCCTGTTCCGCCAAGCGCGCCTTATGCTCTGCAAGTCTCTTCTTCAGCTCAGAAGGAGATTCGAACTTGGGCTTTTTAGACTGTCCACTACTGCCCGAAGTGCCAGGTGCAGGATTCCCCGTCGCAGCACGCCGTTCAGCCTCTGCCTGCTGATACTGCTGCAAAACACGCTGGTTGTGGGCCTGCAACACATCCTCCGGGACACCTTCCATGCCAAAAATCTCGATATCGAGACTTGACCGGTTCTGAAGCGCATTGTCGACCTGGGATAGAGACTCTTTATGGACCTGGCTCATATGTACCGACAAACCTAGAATCGACAAATGTCAGAAAAGCAAAGAAGAGAGCCACAATGAGTAGACATCATACCTCCGGCTGTGTTTAACCTCCTCCCACACCTCTCGCATTTGAAGTGTTTTGCCTTCTGGTGAGAAATGAGAATCTTCAGGTCATCAAAGTCACGCTCACAGTAGTAGCACCATGGCCTCGCGAGCAACTCCTCGAGATCCGGATGGCCGCGCTTTTTCTTCCCCATTCTTCTGATATGAGTGACCAAGTTACTATAGAATGAAGTAGAGAATGGAAAAAAAGAAAAGGTGAAAAAGAAACCAAAACAGGGCGAGGGAGAACAAGTATAAGTAAAATTAGCTGAAGTCTCGGAAGAGCTAATAAAGCGCTTTGCGTTCTACTTCTGCCTCTTCGCTATCTTCTTCGTTGCCTTCTTCTTCGCCAAGTTGTTTGAATTGAAGAGGTTATCGCTTTTTCTTCGTTACTTTCTGGGCGGGCGTCACGTGACGGTAGTAAGTTACCCGACTATCGCCACACGAAGTAGACGCCTGCGATAATGTTGGTGATGTGGATGGAGATGATATGATAAAAGGAATTGGTCGGGCAGAACATAGTCATCTGCCATTAGAGGATTTCTTTCCTTTCTTTCCTTTTCACTTTCAGGATGAGTCCATTTGTCCAAGTAAATATTGTACATGCGCGGCCGAAAACTATTGATGCCATTCCGCCCAGTTGTGCTAACCCCTAACCAAGCAAGAAAGCAAGAAAAGTAGTCAACGCAGCAGCGGGAGGTATCAACACGTTGCAGTAAAGCAAAAGACAGAGCAAAACATGACAAACCCCTCCCAAAGACCAGTCAGTGTATGTAGTTGTGACAAAAAAAAGCAGTACGAGTGAAACAAGCAGAAATACAAAAGCCATGGGCACTGAAGTTATACCAGAGTAAATGAAGCAGAAACCAAAGAGCAAAACAGATATTACAATCGAATTGAATCGCCATGCTAGTAAGTAGTAAGGAATGATGAGAAGCCGAGACATCGTTGGCCAACTCAACTCCACAAAAGGGTGAAAAAAGAAAAGATACCAACACGTTAGACACGCCAGTTGTTCTGACATCTCATCATTAACAAGTGCCATGTTCAACGATGAGATGCCGTATGCATATGGTAATGAAATGAACTCCCTTCCCAATGCTCAGAAATGGGCGTGACAGGCTCCGTCTTGCCGTTGGCATCTCGTCTCATCTTCTTGATAGAAGGAGGATGGCTGTCGGATCTCTCTGTGGAGTTAGCAGCCGTTCTCTTCCGGCTTGCTGATGAAGCAACCGACGGATCAAGACTGGCCTCTCTTTCAGCTACCCGTGCAGCTTCGATCTGGGCCTTAGTTCGTTTGGGGTTTCTTGTTCTACCCTCCTGGTTGAATTTGGCCCAGTGTAGAATCATGGCTTCGGTGCGTTTGGGGTGTTTGGAGTTCTTGATCTTGAGCTGGTTTTTAGGATCTTGAAGGGGATCTGGATAAAATGGAGTGGAGGCCTTTGACGTTCCCGCTGATGTCGGGGCTGGAGATTTTGGTGACTTGGGTGATTTGACGGGGGCACTTCGAGGTGCGCTGGTTGAGAGAGCATATAAGGCCTGAGCTAAGGGCCGTGTAGATTTTCGGACAGGTGTTGGGACGCTGCTTTGAGGCGTAGCATGTCTAGATTGTGAGCGGGAAGGGCCGTGGGGGCTGCCTGGTTCGGATGGAGCTTGAGATGTGTCACCAGTAGATGAAGGCTTCGAGCCTCCATAGCGGGTCACACGTTTAGGTACGAGAAGAGCTTTGGCTTCGGCTTCAGCCTTTGCCACGTTAGGAGCTCTTTTCTTCGGCTTGATAACGGGTGGTGGTCGAAGTTTAGGAACACACTCCACCCCATTCTCCTTTACGGTAGCCCAGCGGTTCATCTTCCATGGCTCCGTGCCGCTTAACTTCATCTTTCGCATCTGATCGGCAGTAGGGATGAAGCCACCCTGAGCGAAAGGATCCTGATACCCAATCTGGCTAGCTTTCGGGTCATGTTTGTAACCATATAGCATTGCTTCTTTTTTATCCTCGAAGACCTGCGGGTCCTCGAGTTCTCTTGGGTTGGAGGTTTTCTTGAGTGAAGACCGCGTAGCTCGCTTTATCAGCTTTTCAAGAGCCATGTGTTCATCTTGCCAGACCCTGAGTGCATGAGCTGCATTGACGGTGATTGCATAGAGCTCCTTTGTCGAAAGGGTTGAGGGGTCCTTCATAATATCGATGTATATATTGGGATCTGTGAGGGTCAAGAATTTTCCCGGAGCAGTAGAAGCCGACTCGTAGGGCTGCGGCCGCTCGAACCCATCAAAAGCACCCTCCCAGCGTGACTTGATCTCGTCCCGCTTGCCCTCGTAATCTTCTGTGAAATTTCCAACATCATGCATGGTCCAGTGGCGTTCCAGCTCTTCCTCGACATTGGGTGTGCCTTCACTCTGAGAGGCAACCGGTAGACGACTCCCTTGGTCCGACTCGAGAGATGGAGTGAGATTCTCTTCGGCAACTAGATTGTTGAATAAGTCTTTGGCAATGTCCGGATGGTCATTCCGCATGTGCTGTTTGAGACTGACGAGGTTATTACCAGTGGTTGCTTCTGATTCAGAGGTCCCCGATGGGAACTCTAGCCCACACCAAGTGCATTTTACTGGGGGCAAGTCAGTAGCCGGGGTATGTTGTGAAGAGGCTGATGGGAGGCTGCGTGGCTCAGATAACCCTCGCTGTACTCTCTGTATTATGGGAGAGTCCGGAGTGTTAATCAGCGGCATCCCAATGTCGATGTCATCCTTGGGCGCAGAGGTGGACGACATCGTGGCACAGGAGACAAGAAGAAGAACAAGAAGAAAGAAAGAAAAAAAGGGAATCAGCGAGAAGAAGGCTCTCCTCTCTCCTGCGTACGAAGTTAGTAAACGAAGCGACCATAAAATAGGCAAAGGGACTATAATATTGCTGCAACCACTGCATCACTGCATCACATGGTCCGGAAGGGAGGGAGGACAAGAGTAAGAGGGGACGGCGATATGGAACAAGAAGATGTACAAACAGTGAGCAGCGAAGGTGAATTGCGTGCGAAGAAGAGCGAGGCAAACATCTTTAGAAGAAGACGGAGCGGTGGTGTGGCAGTTGATGCAGCTGCTGGCTATGTAGTAACTAGGTAGACGAAGCGAAGTAGAAAAACTCTTTACTTACCTCAATAGATTAAAGCCGCCTTTATTAATAATAGTAATACCATTAAGTCGTTGATGTGTTGATGCAGACCAGCGTAGTGTTCAGTGACTTGCGTGAAGAAAAAGTAACTTCCTTGGACCTTTTAACTAGTTTGAGTATTAAACGGCCAACCAAGAAGTTATCGAGGCCGGGCTGATGTTGGTTGGTAGGCGTAGAAGAATCAGCCGGGGAGCAAGTAGAATCGGTCAACGACGAGAAGAGTAGTAGTAAACCCGCCCAGCGGATCAGCGGAAAGGAGGGAAACGAAATGGAGAGGAAGGGTGAAGGAAAAGAAAAGAAAAGGCGTAGATTAAACAGGGCTGAAGGGGTAAGGAAAGACAAGAATCAGGGAGGGTAAGAAGTGTCTCGATCGTTGGTTTTTTTTTTTTTTTTTTTTTTTTTTTTTTTTTTTTTTTTTTTTTTTTTTTTTTTTTTTTTTTTTTGAAGGATTGATAGTACGACTGTGAGATACAACACCTTGCGAGAGAAAGGAGAAGGGGATAAAAAAAATCTAGTTTTTGAGTTAGTAAGGCAGAGCTGATGGACAAGAAGAGCTGGCGAGCCCAAGATGTTCGGCCATCTAGTAAGTAAGTAGAGAGAGAGAAGGGAGAGTGGAGGAGGTGAAGGAGACGAGAAGAACCAGAAGAAGAGAAGAGAAAAAGTAAATCTAGTTTGAGGTGGCGAGGAGACGTGGTTGTGTTGTTTTGGGGGTGATGAACGAGATGGCTAGGTTATATGATAGTTATTTCGGCCAGAGGGAGCAGAGGGATGAAGGAGAACGATGATGGGGATTTTCTCTCCTGGAGAGGCTGTCGGGGCCTGTCTAGATCGGAGAGTAATACTTGATGGCGCTGAGGCGAGGGTGACGGTGACAAGGAGTATGGTTGAAGTCGGAGAAAGAGGCAGAGCAGCACAGGATAAGAACGTAGGAGGAAGAAAAGGCCTTTGTCGGCTCGAGGACAGGACAACGGCCAGGGGGTGGTTGGCTGGTGGTTGGTACTCTTTTTGCTGTTGCTGGGGAAGAAGTTTGCAAGCAGCAGCAGCAGCAGCAGCATCCACGATCCGATCTAGATGTGGATTTTTTTTTTTTTTTTTTTTTTTTTTTTTTTTTTTTTTTTTTTTTTTTCCTCCCTTTAAGTACTTAGAAGAAAGATGAGGAAGAAAGGGAAAAGGATAGGAAAAAGAAAAAAAAAAAAACTAATACGGAGTAAAATAAGTTTAGTTTCCAAAGGGAGCTGCTGGACTTTCGCTCTCTCGTCTCTTTCGCGGGCCTGATACATAGTTGGGTTAGTCAGCAGGGTGAGGCCCAATCAGCGGGCGAGAAAGTCGCGAGAAATTACATGGCGTCAAAATCGTTACGCGATGATACGGCGGACAAGGACAGGACATAGAGATGAAGGCGCTGGGCCGGCTGGATGGCCTCGCCTGGAAGAATGGCCGGGCAGCTGTGTTGCTGTTTATTGAGCAGCCGGAGCGTCGCCTATTGACAGAACAGCTCCCTGCGTCTCGGCCTCGGGCTCACCCAGTTTGTCCACCGCCTATCGCGTGTGAGATTTCGGCGGCGTCTCTTATTAGCGCGCGGTAATGCATATCCTCTGTTCTCTACTTTAACCTCATCTCTAAGTCTCAATTGCGGTAGCAGGTAGTCGATCTCCTCTTCTATTCATTGTTCATTTATTGCTAATACCCTGCAGACTAAGAGGCTCATGGCCCATTCATATAACCTACTTCGTCATATTGAATGCTACGGCTATCTATCTCGTATACGAAACACGGTGTCGCAAAGTGAATACGCTGCACACTGCTGCGTAAATATTCGGCGAGATAATGAAATTGATAACATAGCGATAGGTTCAAGCACAGCTTCCCTATTTATATATCTTCTTTGATAACAAGTGGTGGCCTTGACGGGTATGAATGTACGGCGTAGTGGACGTGGCGATCGATAGTTCCCAACATACTCACTCACTAGCTTTTATCTTTACCACCATCGTCAAGCCAGGGAGCACCCATCAAACATGACCATAAACATCAAATACGGTGTGAGACTGTCATCCATTTGACGTGGTAAGTGGTGTCAAACAAGATTATGACAGGCATCCAGCAGGAAGAGGCCGAGTGCTACTTGTGTTGTTGTCGTTTTGATAGTGAGTTATACTTAGTGATGCTAACCCAGAAAAAGCTAGCTGCGACACACAAGTAGCCAATCATCAGGGGAAGATGTATCGGCCAATCAGCGAGACATCAGCTGACCCACTTCCCGCAACACACAATACAACCACGATATCGCTATACTGCAATTTTAATGGATGGAGCATATTTGATATCCCTGCAAAGGACAGACGGCTGGCAGTATTCCTCCAAGACGGGCATGCCCTCGACTTCATCTTTTTACGTTGGACCGTACTTCGCCTACTTTTTTCGGGGAGAGAAACAACCATATACATAGCGCCCTGCCCACGCCAAAGCTCTCCACCACATGAACCACAGCGCATCATCATCATACTAGCACACCGCTTCATCTCTCACTACAGTGTTTCTCTGATTGGGGAATATAGCCGTGGCATCCGGATATACGTTGTCGGGATGAAGCTCGTCCAGTAATAGATCCCCAGTGGCCATGTCCGCAATTCGTTCGAGCTCCGGCACGCACGCCAAAAGAATTGCTGGTTATCGCGGTGGGAATGACAACTTCCAATATGACATCAAATGATCCCAACGATGGCCAAATAGTTGTCGTTCACTGCCCGGTTGGACTCGGTTCGTGGAGAGGTGGCCTGACAGGCGAGGCAAAGCGTGTCTGTGATAATGCCATTTTCGAGTGAGATGATAATTCGGCTTATCACTTACTCCGCTGCAGTGTGTGCTTGGTCTAAGAGGATGAAATTCTCTAATCCAGCCTAGAAGCTGCATGGCCCGCAAGTCCAATCGGTTAATATTCCCCTTAACACATAGGCAGAAGCCTGAAACGCATCGAGACAGAGATGATAACACCTTGCAGAGTTTTAAGGGAAGTTACCAGAACTAATATCGACTCCGATTATAAGTATAACAACAACTTGGTCGGATGCTACGGGCGGACAAATAAGTTCGCGAACCACATTTAGTATTCTCGAAGAGGACAAGGAAACTTATACCAGTGAGACCAGCAGGGAAGGGTTTGACAATTGACATAAGCCGAGCCCCAGGAATAAAACCTATCTGTCTTTTTCCAGGTCAAAAAGCCGGGAAAGGTGAGCTAGTGAGAAGAGGTTGCTATTTGAATCAATCAGGCGGAGATTTTTGGTCGGAGTATATTTCGTCCCATTGGACTTCAAGGAGACAAACATAATTGCTGTGGACCAGCAGCCAATCTCTGACGGGTTATCACCATCCAATAGATATCGTTGAAATGGTATCATATTCCCGTCGGTATACCGGTAGGTTTTGATGCAAAGCGCCCATCAACAGGCGGTCAAAGGGCAATGGCATCGCCGACCCATAGCCAATAGCGACACCAATGAAATACTCGTGAGGGTACACAAGACATACTTGCACGTTGCCCTCAATGGCGCAAGTTAAAGATGAATGAAGACTATGGCTCCTTGTGTATAAATACTGTCATGCTCAAAGTCATCGGAGATATTGGAAAGAGGTGAAGTGAAAGGCATGTTCTTAAGACTCTGGGGCTTCCTTGAAACGGAGAATGACTGTGATAAATAGATGTGAAGACATTCGGATGCCTTTGTCCTGGCTATAAGCTGTCTACCAAACTTCCTCTTAGAGATGGAATGTGCTTTACTGAAGCGGGTATACTGGTACAGGAAGATTCAGGCAATCAAGCCGACGATGAATTTTCATTACCATCCTTAGCTGGCTTCGCAAGAGATCCTCCCCGGTTTTTCCTGTAATGCATATGACCGTATAGCAGTATGTGCTTGAAAAGATACCAAATATGGTGATCATGGAAACAGAGGAATGATGGACCTGATAGCATATGCGTGCTTTCTGGGCCCAGAGCTTTTATGTATTAGATGCCTCGAAGTTCAACAATATGTGAGATGTAACTAACTGCTGAACATTTGCCCCAATGGAATGGTATTTAAACCACAAAGCCAATCGTTCTCCAGTATTTGCTTGCTGGGATATTTATCCCATGCCACGTGAAGACTTTCTGTCTTCAGGGAGACGTTCACAAACCATACCTCGCCTTCCGTGTACCTAATAATGAATAAGGATAATCGTGATTTTACGGATTTTTGCGCGACAGCAACCTGTCTAATTACCTAGCTGCTTGTCACCCTGGTGGCAATCTCACCCCATTGGCTATCTAGTGAACATCCTGCAAACCACCTCACAGAAAATGCATATGAAAGTCATCGAAGTCTGTCATTTGCGCCCTTCGAGGAAATCAAGCTCCTTTCCTCTTTTAGTCGCTCTTGGCTTGCGGCTCGGCCCGCCGCCGAGAGAGTAAACGCACGAGGCCTTCTCACCTCGGTGGTATAGTTAGTTGGCTCTCACAGCTGTCGAAATGTTTGGGGTAGAGTAGTTACTTGATTTAAGTTGATAATAGGCATGGAGAGTTATTCCTGTATCTACCTTGATAAGGTCTTCTCCAATTATTTTAGATGAGAAGCTGCTAACTAACCATATACAGTAGATATTAACCACTACCTATCCTGATTCTCAGCTCTGAATAGTCTTTGATAATTCAGCCAAATCCTAAAGCAGTGGACTGCGGACGGCGGACTACGCTATTCATACCCAGCTAACAGATGCCCTCAGTCATTCATCTCCCCCACGTTCAACGCGACTAGAAATCTACTGACGCAATTATACGCCGCTGTCGTAGCCGTAATCTCAACAACCTCCTTCTCACTAAACAATCCCTTAATCTCCTGGAACACATCCTTCGGAACCTTGACGTTTCTCGTCATGGCGCTCGAGTACCGATACACAGCGATAAGTTCCTTGCTATACAGCTCCCTCGCCAACTCCGCCTCGTCACACGTATCAAGCTTGGTCAGTTCTATGGCTTGATCGGATACACCTGCAATCTTGAGTAATGGGAAGTGTTGTTTCCATTCGAACCATGCTTGGTTGATGGCTGCGACGCGGTAGATAGCTAGTTCGCGGGCGGCGGTGGGGATGGAAGTGCGAGTGCGAATGGCACCAAAGGAGTTCCAGCCATCTGCGACGGGGAAGGAGTGTAGGAGGGTTAAGTCTAAGGGAAGAAGGCCATTGGGGCCGCGCCGGGCCCGGATTCGCTCGAGAATGGCGGCTTCGTCGGGGTGGCTGTTGGGGGGGGGTTGGAGGTGTAGGAGAGACGCATTTTATATTTTATAATGTTACTGTTGTAGTTAAACACTAGCTTTGTGGGTGGATAACTAGTACGGGGTGAGGATAGGGTTATTATATGTGTGCTTACAATATAGTATAATGACGGATAGTGTATCTTGATACACGAGTGTGGGAGTGTAAGAGTAATGATCCCGGCTCAGACCCCGCGGCCGATGGCGCCTATCGGCAACAACCTGATTGCGGGCAGGCAGGGTGGCGGCTATTAAGCACAGGGTGATAGCCGCCTGACGCGGTAAACCCGACAGCCGAAACTAATTGATTAAGATTGGACGAATCAGAGGTGATAATGACGTATAGGAGGTGGAATATGACATTAGGAATAGGCACAAGGTGGATGGCGCAAAAGGATAGAAGTAATTAGGTCGATGGAGGCACTGAGCACGTCTCGCTCTATAACGGTAGCAAATCATATCAGACTGACAAAAAAGGTAGTAATAACTCCAAAAAAACACAACGACCCGTTATTTAGCTGTATGGGGCTGGTTAGCAGTCCCAGCTGTGCTTGGACTCGCGTTGGCTTGCTTGTTTCCCAGCCATGGTGGTTTGAATCAATAGGCGCGTACCTTTCCTTCCATGGAGACTCCACTCCCTCTGACGCCCTGAAAAATGAACGAGGGAAAGAAAGACATATAAAAGACAACGAAAGAAAAGTACAGTAATTCCAGTTTAATTTGGACTTTTTCCTCACATTTTCACCTATTCACTTTCTTATTCCTTACTGTCTTGCTCGGGGCACGGGGAGATGCCAAGTACTCATGTTATAGTTCCTGACCATCTGCCACCGTCTCCTTGAGCCGGGCAGAGTCTTTGAGAGTGTTAGTAGGTCTCTCCACCGGCGCCATTGTGCGCCGTGCCTACCATAGCGGGATATCCGTATGCTGCGCCATCCTGCTCGTTCGGGTCGAGACTCCCAGTCAGAAGGTTGTTGGAAGCCTCGGGGGGTGGAGGGACTGTGAAGCCCGCTGGTGGTTGTTGAGCTGGTGCTGTTCCGGCCATGCCTGCGGGTACTGGAGCGGGACCGCCAACTGGGCCACCGGAGCCATATCCGCTGCTGGATGGTCGGTTCTGGTTTTCGCCCCTGGCAGTTTGGGTCTGAGGAGATTGGTTAACATCTGGCTCTTTTGACGGAACAGGGAAAAGACATGGGCGGGAAATATGTGGTGTATATAATGGGGAGAAGATGTAGAGGTAAAAGGAAAGAAAAGAAAAGAGAGGGAAATATGAAGAAGATGTGCATACAACTGTGTACTTACTTCCCGGTATTTCGTGAGGTAGATCTTCAAGGCTTCGGCGTAGTTTTCGAATCCGAGCGATGTCATGGCAAAGAGGATATCCTCCCCATTGACAGTCTTGCGTTTCTCTCCCTGACACTTCTCCGAAGCTATATCGTTCCATCCACCGGGCGTCAGCATCTACCTTCCCACTTCAAGGTGCAATGACAAATTTTGCCACCCATCACGTTGTACAACGTACCTTCGCTGGTGATGAACGATATGAACTCGCTCACGCACTCTTGCATGCATTCCTTTGCTTCCTTTGCTATTTTTGCATTCTCGGGCAGGGCAGTCTTCATAATTCGGGCCACTATGGGAAGTTAGAGAGGAAGGAAGATCACATGTTAGGCAAGCTGAACGTTATTGATAAACGAGAGGGAGGAAGAGCATGGGTGATATGAATATCTTTGGTGATTGGACCATGCTGCAGCCAGATTCAAGGTTGCAGCGCATCAGCTTGAGGCTGATTGACTATATGCGCATGTAGCTTGCTTTGGGAAGAAGTGGGGGGAGGGAAAGCATGGACATCTGGGACGGTCTTCTCCTTGTAGAAGAGACTTTGGATTTGACAAGAGGGATGTGTATATTGACGCCAGCTATTGTTGGTGTCCTGTGCGTGCATGGATAGTGACCAGTCCTTTGGTGTATTTTTTTTGCGCCAGTCCGGATTTATTTTGTGTGCGAAAGGAGCTGAGGAAAGAAAAGGCAGTAGGATAGGTAGGCGGATGACATCAACAAAAGAAGACGACGGGATTGACACCAAGAGGGCAAAGAGAGAGAAAGGTATGAACAAACCATTTGCAATTGGCAGCCATCGGTCCTGCTCTTTGACCTCGAATTCGCCCTGGCCCTGCGTCTGTATATCGTGGTGTTCTCTTTCCATGGGCTCCGCCTCGTCTCCTGACTGAGTAACTGGTTCCACCTCTGGTTCCTTTGGAGGAGAGGCCGAAGACATGGCTTATACGTCCGTTGGTTATGTATGTACGGGGAGGTGTGCAAAGGGGGCAGGGACAAGCAACGCAAGGGGGCAGAGAACGGCTCTTGCGGCAAACGGAGCGTATGGGATGGCGCTCCTGCTTCGAGTAGTGTGGACTTGACACGTCACTCAACCCTCCGTACAAACCCTAAAGGGGGTGATGGGATGTGAATTAACTATGATAGTCTGACTTGGTCCTGTAGGTCCCAAACGTCAAACATCAAATGGCCGTGGGCGGGCGCGTTGGTGTGTCCCCTGTGTCCTGCATCGAAAGGAGGACCGCATTAGCTTCAGCACCCAATGAGCACGGCGGTCTTGCTTCACGATCGCCTTGGACTGGGCAAGGCATCTTTTCTTCTTCAAACCATGACAAGAGAAAGCAGCCGGAAGAAACAGCAGACACAAGAAGAAACAGCAGAGACAGAGGCAGAGACAGCGAGAAGGGGGGTGGATACCTTGGATACCTCGAGCCGTATCCGCGGGCAATGGGAGGCCCGTGACAAGCAAGGACCGGGCGGCTGGCCGAACAGCGCAGCAGCAGCAAAAGGCAGGGCAAAGCAATAAAATAAAAAAACAACGAGGGAAAAGAAAAAAATAAAGGTATGGATAGGAGCGTTGAGTGCTTGGGGGGTCGGCGGGCTGCCTGTTGACTGGATGGACGTACGGAGTGTATCTTGTTCGAAGGCCAAACAGAAGAAGCGTTCTCCCCCAAGGGCAAGGCAGGACAAGGGCTGGCAAATCCGCCGAGTCGCAAAAGGAGGCTAAAAAAGCAAAACGCGCTGGCCGCAGTCTTTCTGTGACTTTCGCCCGGTGCGACTCGACTCGACTCGAGCCGGCGGTTGGTGGAGGTGGAGAGGCGTCGCTGCACTGCGCTGAGCTGCGCTGGTTGGGCGGAAACCGAGTGACAGTGACAGGCCGGGCGTCTTCGTGTCGGCGGCGATGCTTTTGGAGCTCTCGAGGGCGAAGCAGAAGGACGCTGCGATGCGCTGCGATGCGATGCGATGCGATGCGAGGTCGAGGGTGTTGTTTCTGCTGGGCCGCGCTAGCCAGCGAACGAACCTGTGCTGTGCTGTGTTTTTTTTTTTTTTTTTTCTTTTATTTTTACTTTTTCTTTTTTTCTTCTTCAGTGGGTGCTGCTGGTTGTCCTTTTTCGATGCTTGACCGCAAGTTGGGTATACGACAGGGCGATGTGACAGAGCTGAGAGCAGGCGGCGGCGGGCGATGCAGAGACTGGCGCAGGCGGTCGTTGGTCGTTGGTTGGTGTTGTTGATGGACATGGAAGGGGGCGAGTTTGGATGGCGGAAGAAGATGAAGATGAAGATAAGATTAGGTTAGTTGGCTATTGCTTATCTTGTTTTGCTAGTTAAGCCTGCTGTTGGTACGGAGTAGATATCCATGATATCCATGATATCCATGGATGCGCTGGAGCTAGTCTGCTATTGTTAGTTACTGGCGGCGGTGGTGATAGCACTGCTGTCTACGTACTGTCTATGGCTCTAGCAGTTCAGAATCAGGCCAAAGGAGCTGCTGGTCAAGTATCAGCCAGGAGAAGCGTCCCTACGGCAAGAGGATGCTACGGCGTCATGGCCTGCTTCTTAGGCTGGCAGTCATCTGGTCATAGACGGCATCTGAAGTACTACTCTCTACATGGACAAACTGCTTGCAAGATGCATGTAGCTATCACAGACAAGCATAGCAGAGATCAAAGGCCAGGAAGGTCGACCACGCCGATCGCCCAACCGTCTTCGTGACAGCCGATAAATGATCTGTCGCCTGCATATTGTACACAAAGTCCTTACGCTTCTCTCTCTCTCTCACAAAGACGATGACCTCACTCACGCATACCAACATCGATACCCAACCGGTAGGCCGCTTCCAAACACACGGGACCCAGCATACAGAGCTAGCTAGCTGCTGAATACCAGCTGGAGATAGCTTAGCCTGTTTAAAGACAGTGCAAGCGAGGGTTTCGCTTGTCTTCCGTCCCCGTCTGTCTGAGCATGTGTGTCTGTCCATGCTGGCTCCGGGTTGGTTAGGTAGACGTGCATCCACAGGCAAGCTTAATCC